ATTTATTTATTTATTTATTTATTTTGAGAAATATTATTCTCTCAAGAGAATAATACTTAAATACATATTTATTTTAATATTACATAATGGCTGATTCAAAAATGTTTTAGGTTTTGTCAATATTTTTTTTTATTATTATTATGCAATTATACGAAATAATTCTTTGCTTGATTAACTATTCATCACGATAGAGTAGTTTTTGCATGTTAGCCTCCTTCAAATTTGAAACGAACATGATGATAATGTGACGCAAAATAGTTCTAACATCGGATTTGTATTAGACCAATGGTCCATGTAAGAATTAGGATCGGAAATGTAGTTAGCATAAAAAGTCTTTGACACAATATTTGTGTCGATTACTCGATCGGCGTCAACTGCCTTCGACGCATCCCACACTGATGCTAATGTCAACTATGAAATTTCACTCCACTTTGCATTGTGTTTTGCATCGCAGTATCTACTGGTGAGCTCAACTTACGTCGAAATTTATCGAAGTATGTGGGGAATATCGAAAGTATTGTCATTGGACATGGCAGACGCAAATCTGTAGCAAATTAAAAAAATGAATATAAAAGAGCAATCAATGTTTTACAACCGTCATACAACGAATGCAAATCCCATAAACAATTACATATCCACCAGAAGAACATAGAATTTATTTCACAAACAAGTACCGACAGTGAAAACATATATAATTTAACAAATATTAAGTTAAATACGTAAAAGTTCACATCTATACACAGAATCTTGATACGAATAATACTATATCCCACATACACAATAAATGAAGGTGTATAAACTCTAATGGGGCATAGCCATCATGGTCATCAGTGTTCTCTCGCTCCTCTCCCTCATCCTCCCCAATCATATAGAAATCAAAGACCACTTGCACTACATGAATTTAGCTTTTTAATGACTGACTAATACCACTTGGAATTATATAAAAACCATTGATAATATAATTATCAATGTTAAAGTACTGCTTATTTAATGCAACAAATATGCTTGTGAGTAATTTAATTACCTATGGAGCCATTGACTACTTTCTAACACCAATGATAGTTCGACGAACATCACCGATCGCTGTTGGTTCAAATCCACAGCTTTGTTATGCAGTTGATTTCCGTTGGTAATATCACTGACACCCTTAGCCATAGACAAAGTGTAGCACAGCCGTCGGAAAAATATCGCTTCCATAGAAAAAGTGTCGTACAACTGTCAGTAGGTCGTGGGTAATTGCTGATGGCTTTAACTGTTAGAAAACTTCAGTGGCTTAAGAAGATGTCGCTTATTTGATACTATGTTAAACAACTGTCAGAACTCACCAAGAAGATAGTAAAATCAGAAGATGTCGCTTATTTGATACTATGTTAAACAACTACTCACCAAGAAGATAGTAAAATCGAAATCATAAAAAATTGTAGCATCAGAAAAAAATTTCATTCTTCAACACTTAAGTTCATACACCTGCAGTCATAAGACTGCAATTTTCACACAACACGACATATTATACTAATCATAACATTTATTAAATAATGCCACATTACTAATTAACACGAAAATCTTAGACAGAAATAAGAGAGAAACGACTGCATTCAATCAAATAAAATAAACAATTGTACATTACAAAATATTGTTCACGGCCAATAATTTATTTTATATAACAAAAAAGAAAAAAAATAACTCCCTACTCATCCTCCTTCGTTCTCTTCTCAACATCTTCCTCGTTGTCATTATCATGAAATGACTGTTTTGATCTCTATAATGCATAAGACAACATCACTTCGATCTTGGACTTCTTCTTCAGCTCCATCTCCAATCTTATTTGGGCTAGTTGGGTGGAGATCTAGCTAGCAACCTTGGCATCGACCTGGCGATGAATCTCCTCCTCTTGTGCAATAGAAATAGATGCACTGGATGTGTTAGAGGTCGGAGGCCGATGCCTGAGACCCTAACCTGTAGACCTTGCTTTTCTTCTTGTCATCAGCAGT